ATCTATACCTCTCTCTCTCTCTTTACCTCTCTCCATCTATTTATCTCTCTTTATCTCTATCTCATCTCTCTATTCATCTATTTATCTATCTCTCTCTATTTATCTTTCCTCTTCTCTCTATTTATCTCTATCTCTCTCTTTATCTATCTCTCCATATCTCTCTCTCTCTTTATCTCTCTATTCATCTATTTATCTCTCTTTATCTCTCTCTATCTTCCCTCTTCTCTCTATTTATCTATTTATCTCCATCTCTCTATTTATCTCTCTCTTTATCTCTCTATTCATCTATTTATTTCTATCTCTATCTCTACTTATCTCTCTCTTCATCTATTTATCTCTCTCTGTCTCCCCCTCTATTTATCTATTTCTCTCTCTCTTTATCCCTCTATTCATCTAGTTATTTCTCTATCTCTATCTCTACTTATCTCTATCTATCTATCTCCCCCCTCTATCTATTTCTCTATCTCTCTTTATCTATCTCTCTATTTCTCTCTCTCTTTATCTCTTTCTTCATCTATTTATCTCTCTATATATTTATCTCTCTCTCCATCTATTTATCTCTCTCTCTCTATGGCTTTTCATTTAATAATATATGAATTTGTGTTCCTTAACAGTTCATTTAAGAACCATGTCAGTAATAATTACTGATGATAAGACTAAGAGAGAGAAAAGGCTGCTGTGGCAACGTCGTCTCCCACTCCCTCATTTTCTTTGGAGAAGAGCCCCACCTGCTGACCCCCCCATCTCAAAATTGCCAAGTTCGATGAGCACGGAGGGCTTTTTCCCCCTGGTCATTGGGGGGGGGGGGCTAATGGCACTAGATGTTAAGCCCGGTGAAAACATTGGCATCACCATAGAGTTTTATTGACAGTGGCATGGGAGTAATTTTCTATTATCTTCCTCCAAGCAGTATTGACTATTTCCTAGTTCAGCCTACAGCCCACGGGTTTCCGGGTGGTCTCCCATCCAAGGATTAAGCAAGCCAGATCCTGGTTAGCTTTAAAAAAAAAACAAAACCTGGCAAGGGTAGAGAAATTGTCATTCACTCTGATGCTAGTATGTGCTTGATTTATTTCATGATTCCCTCTTCCAGTACTTCCACAGAACAAGAACCCCCTGTGAGGCAGGCTGAGCTGAGAGTGACTCCCTAGCATGGCAAATGATGTGTGGGTGGATTTGAATCTGGGTCTCCCAGGTTCCACATTTTAGTCACTTGGCCATGCTGACAACATAGTCATAAAATACAACATAAATAAGGGGGGGACATGATAGCAGTGTTCCAGTATCTCAGGGGCTGCCCCAAAGAAGAGGGAGTCAAGCTATTCTCCAAAGCGCCTGAAGGCAGGACAAGAAGCAATGGAGGGAAACTAACCAAGGAGAGAAGCAACCTAGAACTAAGGAGAAACTTCCTGACAGTGAGAACAATCAACCAGTGGAACTACCTGCCTCCAGAAGCGGTGAATGCTCCAACACTGGAAGTTTTTTAAGAAGAGACTGGGCAGCCATTTGTCCGAAATGGTATAGGGTTTCCTGCCTGAACAGGGGGTTGGACTGGATGATCTCCAAGGTCCCTTCCAACTTTACTATTATTATTATTATTATTATTATTATTATTATTATTATTATTATTAAAGTGTTGGGTTGATACTTAACACGGGAGTTATAATACGTCAGAAGAAACATTGCATATTTGATTTGTACTGAAGGATTGATGGTATGCAATGATTGTCAGATTCTGAATTATTTTTTTTGAAGACTTTTTTGCAGTTGATTGTTTGCAATTTTTTAACGATAAAATTTTCAGACCCATTTTCTTTGCTTTACAGTGATGCATTTATTATACATTTTCCTCTTATTTAGCCTGATATAATTAATATTTTAAAATCCATGGAGTAATTGATGCTTCTAACTGATTACTTCAGGTCTGGTACAGTTAACTAATTAAAATTGCAATCCTCTTTTCAGTAGCTGGTACACAAGTCAGCTGTAGATAAACCACATAGGAAACATGAATACAAGCAAGCTGTAATTAACTGAATGCCTTGTCTCAGTGCAGCAAACTGGCCATTGTTGTTTTCATCAAAATGCAAGTAAAACTGGAGCGTTGCAACTCTTTGTGTCTTAGCTTTTAAGAAGGAAAACAGTATAATTGCATTTAAACGTATGACAAGCAAAACATTTGAACCAGTTCTAGAACCCCCAAATGGAAGAAAAAACTGTCCGTTACCATTTATAATAAAAATAGCAATTGTTTTCCTTGGAGAGAAGGGACGGGTTTTTTTTTAAAGAGTCCAGTCACTACCATCCAAAATAAAGTTTTGATTGGCAGGCGAAAAGCTTCGTAGAATAAACTTTAACTAATCAAAAATAAGTCATTGGCTGTCAGAATATTGCTCTGAAATCTCTAGTCCAGATTTAATCATTTGATACCAGACCGATAGGCGGCCAATGGCCCAGGGTGTGTTTGTATGGATGTGAAAAGTCAATAAGGTAGCCATGACCACATAATTGAAGCCCTGCACCTTTTTACAAGAATTACATAAAAAGCAAGCAAAAAAATCACCTGATCACTTCCCCATGGATCCCTCTGCCTAAATGCCTCCAACAGCATTCACAATAATTCTATTAAGATTTAGAGCAGGGGTTTTCAAACTTGGCCCTTTTGTGACTTGTGGACTTCAACTCCCAGATGATGGTGATGGTGGTGATGATGATGATGATGATAATAGTAGTAGTAATAATAATAATAATAATAATAATAATAATAATAATAATAATAATAATAATAATAGTTGTTGGAAGGGACCTTGGAGGTGATCTAGTCCAGGGATAGGCAACCTTGGCTCTTTTATGACTCGTGGACTTCAACTCCCAGAATTCCTCAGCCAGCCATACTGAGGGGAAAGGGAGAGGTTTCCAAGCTGAGCCAGGCTGGCTCAGGAATTCTGGGAGTTGAAGTCCACGAGACATGAGGGGGCCATAGTTCCCCCATGCTGGCTCAGGAATTCTGGGAGTTGAAGTCCACGAGTCATAAAAGAGCCAAGGTTGCCTACCCCTGACCTACACCATTTCGGACAAATGGCTGTCCAGTCTCTTCTTAAAAACCTCCAGTGTTGGAGCATTCACCGCTTCTGGAGGCAGGTTGTTCCACTGGTTAATTGTCCTCACTGTCAGGAAGTTTCTCCTTAGTTCCAGGTTGCTTCTCTCCTTGATTAGTTTCCATCCGTTGCTTCTTGTCCTGCCTTCAGGTCTCTTTGGAGAACAGCTTGACTCCCTCTTCTTTGGGGCAGCCCCTGAGATACTGGAAGTCTGCTATCCTGTCCCCCCTCGTCCTTCTCTTCATTAAATTAGACATCCCCAATTCCAGCAACCGTTCCTTATATGTTTTAGCCTCCAGTCCCCTGATCATCTTTGTTGCTCTTCTCTGCACTCTTTCTAGAGTCTCAGCATCTTTTTTACATCCTGGTGACCCTCTTGTTGTGTTTCTTCCTCCAGCACCTCTTTAAAGCACACTGCAGAGAGCCATGGTGTGCATTCCTTGCATCGTGATCCCAGTCCTGCTCTGGGTCTACAAGAGGTTCCTTGAGCCGTATCTCTACCCCTTCATCTCTCCTTTGATCAAACGCCTTTGGCCCAAGAAGGCCGTGCAGGGACCAGCCAAGCCGGAGAGAAGGAGCAGCTCTGAGGAGGATTCCCTGAGGCAGGATCCCTTCAGCGATCAGGCGGAACTTTATGAAGTAAGCATTACGTCTGTGTGTGTGTGTGTGTGTGTGTGTGTGTGCGTGTGTGTGTGTTTTGAGGAACCCCATTAGAGATGGATAAGAATAAAATAGAATAGAAAAGTTATATCTGATATGGTCAAAGGACCAAAACGATTTAGTCGTTTGACCATATCAAATACATGAAACTTAATGCAGATAGTCCTCCACTTACGGCCCAAAATTTCCACTGCTAAGCGAGGCGATTGTTTTAAGCGAGTTGCCCCTTATTTTACAACCCTTTTTTCCCCACAGTTGTTAAGCGAATCATGCAGTCGTTAAGCGAATCTGTCTTCCCCCATTGGCTTGGCTTATTGGAAGCTGGCTGGGAAGATTGCCAATGGGGATCGCGTGATCCCAGGGCAGCGCAGCTGTCATAGGTACACGCCAGTTGGCAAGTGCCCGAATTTTGATCACGTGACCGTGGGGATGCTGCAGCGGTTGTGAGTGCGAAAACTGGTCAGGAGTCACTTTTTTCAGCACTGTTGTCATTTTGAACGGTCACTAAGCAAACAGCTGTAAATGAAGAACTATCTACAAATAATATCGACAGATACAAGGAAAACAATAGGATCACAAAATGGACGGGCGATTCATACCGCTTTGCTAATTGCAAACAGAATCCTAATTGCAAACAGGCCTGCCTTGCTTAATGCTGTAATTCTAAGAGAGCAGTCTCTCCGTTTTTCATTCCCCGCCTGAGCCGTGCTCTCCTCGGAGTATCCTGGAATATACCTAAGGAAAGGAAGCTACTCATTTTGAATTTTGCTCTGGGATGAATTTTAAGCTGGCAGTGTCCTCACTCACTACCTGTAGCCTTTCCTCTGCTGTTCCCATCCAGTGAATATTCATAACGGAATGGAGACGGCCTGTAAGTCAAGGTAACAAAAATGCTGCGAAGAATGGGAAGAATCTTGGCTTTGCAGGGGTTGAAGCCCCGGTACAAGCTTGAATGTGTGCTGTACAGGTGTCCTATTTAAAATGCTTGTGCGAAAGTGAATATCATTGTGCTGTAGGGTGAAGATTAGCAACATGGGGCCTCTGGGTGCCAGGATGTCTGGCTGCGCCTAAACTGTGCCGTCTCCAAAATAATACTATTAATAATTAACCACCCTCATCAGTATCATTAGCAATTCATTATTAAATAAGAGTTAATAGTTAATCGTCCACGGTTAAATAGTCCATGGACTGAGCCACTGTTAAATTTTCTTTGTTGTCACATATAAGCCACATTTCCCCCTTCCCATTTTCTAAATAGGTTTGGTTTTAGGGTTCGGAGGGGCAAACTGAGTTGTTTTTTTTAGCCAGCTTCACCTACCAGATAAGCTGGAAAATTATCCCACTCTGCTCAGGTGGCATCACTGGGCACGCCTTGCATGGTCCAAAAACCCTCCCCCACCCCTTCGCCTCCAGATGCAGTCTTTGCCCGGAAGGATGCCCACCTGCCCTGGTTTCAGCAGACTTCCGGTGAGGGGCATACGTGGCTGCAGGTGAAGGGGCTTACGTGTATTACAGGTAGTCCTTTACTTATGACATTAATGGAGCCTGTAATTTCTTTGTAAGTCACGATGGTGATATGTCTAGGCCAGGGGTAGGCAACCTGGGCTCTTTTATGACTCGTGGACTTCAACTCCCAGAATTCCTGAGCCAGCCATGCTGAGGGGAGAGGGAGAGGTTTCCAAGCTGAGCCAGGCTGGCTCAGGAATTCTGGGAGTTGAAGTCCATGACTCATAAAGCAGCCTAGGCCTAGGCTAGAGGTAGGTAATCTTGGCTCTTTTATGACTCGTGGACTTCAACTCCCAGAATTCCTGAGCCAGCATGAGAGAAACTTTGGCCCCCTCATGACTGGTGGACTTCAACTCCCAGAATTCCTGAGCCAGCCATGGATCAGCTTGGAAACCTCTCCCTTTCCCCTCAGCCGTGCTGGCTCAGGAATTCTGGGAGTTGAAGTCCACCAGTCATAAAGCAGCCTAGGCCTAGGCCAGAGGTAGGCAATCTTGGCCTTTTTATGACTGGTGGACTTCAACTCCCAGAATTCCTGAGCCAGCACGGCTCAGCTTGGAAACTCTCCCTTTCCCCTCAGCATGGCTGGCTCAGGAATTCTGGGAGTTGAAGTCCACCAGTCATAAAAGAGCCAAGGTTGCCTATCCCTGGTCTAGACTCTAGAGGCCTAGGGTAGAGGTCTTCAAACTTGGCCCTTTTATGACTCATGGACTTCAACTCCCAGAATTCCTGAGCCAGCCATGCTGAGGGGAAAGGGAGAGGTTTCCAAGCTGGGCCTTGCTGGCTCAGGAATTCTGGGAGTTGAAGTCCACCAGTCATAAAAGAGCCAAGGTTGCCTACCCCTGACCTAGAAGATACATAGATAGATAGATGGACAGACAGACAAACAGACAGACAGACAGACAGACAGACAGATAGATAGATCGATCAGGGGTAGGCAACCTTGTTGTTTTATGACTGGTGGACTTCAACTCCCAGAATTCCTGAGCCAGCCTGGCTCAGCTTGGAAACCTCTCCCTTTCCCCTCAGCATGGCTGGCTGAGGAATTCTGGGAGTTGAAGTCCAGGAGTCATAAAAGAGCCAAGGTGGCCTACCCCTGATCTAGGATCGAGAAAAAGATCTTAGCATCATCTAGTCGGCAGTCTTATTTTTTCTGTTTCAGAACTGATGGAATGAATGTGCATTATTTTTTTTTTAAAAAGTCTTTTTCCCCCTCCCTCCCTGTCTTTCAGGCCAAAAGCAATGGCATTGCAAATGGATTTCCTGGAACTGGGCCCAAAGAAGATTCCAAGACAAAGACGGATTAGTTATGCTTCCGTTGTGGGGGGTCAAGGCTGTTATTAAGAAATGAACTCACAGTGTTGTCCCCACGTGGATATTTTATTGATTGCACATTTATCTGAACGGAAATTTGTAATATGTATAGACACCGGGGAGACTTGGAATAATTCTAGCTGTGTCCTTGAAAATAGTTTTAATATATTGTCTTGCTGTTGTTAAAATTGGGGGTGGCTGGAACCCCAATGTGCAGTGCAATTGGAGAGCGTTAACAATTTTAGTCTCCATATTTTATTAAAACTATGACTCTCAATTTTGCTACTTGTTTCAAAAAAATTCCTGAAATCCTTCATTGATGATGACCCATAGGTTGGTTTGTTTTTTTAAGCAAAATATCATACCCACAGTAGCTAAAAAAAAAAAAGCAGCATTGTAAATATTTGAATACTAATGGCAAAAATATTGATAGCTACTAATTTTCTGTTTCTAAATTAGCATCTGCAGAGCTGCCCTATTGCAGATTCCTCACAATGGTATAGAAAAACTTTTAAAAAGCAGATATTATATGAAGGAAACAATACCAATTCAATGCCACAAAGGGAAAATGTCCCCTTTTTATATATATTTTTGAGCTTCTAAAGGTGAAAAAAAGCTAAAGCTGATAAACACAAGTCTGTATTTTGGTTGATCATGTCTACCTCCCTAATTAGAATAACACCCAAGGCCACCATAGCAAATAAACCTTACTGGTTATTGTTGTAACTATACTATTTTATCTGCAATGTAGATTTTCAGTTGGTGCATTCTAAAATCCATGTGTGTTTTTCCTAAAGGAATAGGGAAGCTGTATCTCTCATGTAAATATGCCCAGGACTCCTTTTCAATTTAAGGCATTTTTTACGGAGAACAGGTGGGTGATTGGGAAAAGCTCGGTGGGGATAGAGAGTTTATTATTTTTCTGAGATCTGTTTTAGTGAATAAGGACACTACAACCCTTTGCCTAGGAAAAAATGCAAATTTAACTGATTTAGAATTTGAATAAAGTGTGAAAGCAATATGTGTATTATGTGCTGAGTCCCAATTCTCTCCCCCCCTTTTTTTTGCATACCAAAATTAAACGTTCAGTTTAGGTTATAAACACACCAGTTAAGAGGAGCTTGTTGTCATCTTGTACTATTGTGCCAATAATGGCATAAATCTCTAACCCAGGGGTCTTCAAACTGGGCCCTTTTATGACTTGTGGACTTCCACTCCCAGAATTCCTCAGCCAGGGACGCCTGGCTGAGGAATTCTGGGAGTTGAAGTCCACAAGTCATAAAAGGGCCAGGTTTGAACCCTGCTGTAACCCATGCTGGCTGGGGAATTCTGGAAGTTGAAGTCCATACATCTTAAAGTTGCCAAAAATGAGAAGTCTTGCCTGGCCCTATACCAGGGGTAGGCAACCTTGGCTCTTTTATGACTGGTGGACTTCAACTCCCAGAATTCCTGAGCCAGCCATGCTTAGAGGAAAGGGAGAGGTTTCCAAGCTGAGCCATGCTGGCTCAGGAATTCTGGGAGTTGAAGTCCACGAGTCATAAAAGAGCCAAGGTTGCCTAGCCCTGCCCTATACTGAGTAATGCAAAATAGCTGGCTTGGCTGCAGATATATTATAATGGGCATTTCAGGAGCTGGGCAAGCCGGCTGGGAAGGAGAGTTAAGACATGGCAGAGCTCAAATTTGTACCACATACGCAGTCCTCAACTTACAACCATTCATTTAATGACCATTCAAAAATATAAATCACTGAAAAAAACCCGGTCCTTGCACAGCATCCCCACAGTCACATGGCCAAAAATTCAGGCAAAGGGCAACCAGCATATGTTTAGGTCATTTGACTCCGGGAGAGCAGCTTCAGCCTGACCCCACAGGGCTGTCTACGGCAGGGGTCTGCCACCGTGACCACTTTAAGACTTGTGGACTTCAGTTCCCAGAATTCCTCAGCCAGCTGGCTGAGGAATTCTGGGAACTGAAGTCCACAAGTCTTAAAGTGGTCACGGTGGCAGACCGCTGGCTTACGGGGATTCTCCGTCACCCAGGTGATGGTTGCCCCAAAGGTGCTTTTTCAAAAGGCAGCCGGACTTTGTTGGTTTTTTTCCCTTGAAAACATTTTGCGTCTCGTCCAAGAACTGAAGAAGCTTCTTGGATGAGAAGCGAAACATTTTCAAGGAAAAAAACCCCAAAGAAAGTCCAGTTGCCTTTTGAAAAGCACCTTCGGGGACCCCACAGGGTTGTTTAGGTTCCGTGTGGTGTTCGTTTGCAGGGAAACCACTTGTCTTGGGGTCGCCTCAGCTTGCCCCTCTGTGAAATGGGCTTCACTTGGGATGTGTTTCAAAATGTCCTGAAGGCAGGACAAGAAGCAACGGATGGAAACTCATCAAGGAGAGAAGCAACCTGGAACTAAGGAGGAATTTCCTGACAGTTAGAACAATTAACCCGTGGAACCACCTGCCTCCAGAAGCGGTGAATGCTCCAACACTGGAAGTTTTTAAGAAGAGACTGGACAGCCATTTGTCTGAAATGGTCTAGGGTTTCCTGCCTGAGCAGGGGTTGGACTAGATGACCTCCAAGGTCCCTTCCAACTTTATTGTTATTATTGTTATCGTTATTATTTTATTTTATTATTTTTATTATGTGAGGGTGCATTGGGAAAACCAGGCCGCCCGCGGTCCCTCCGGGACAAACCACCAGGGGGCGCAGAAGGGTCAAAACAGGCGGCTTCAACTCTGCAGGGAGCCTCGGAGACGGGGAGGGAGGCAAACCGCTCCAACTCCCGCCTGCGCACTCGGAGCTCACGAGGACTTCATTTCCCGACACGCAGCTTCGGTTCCGCACGCCTGGGCGGGGCCTTCGAGCACGTCATCTCCGCGGACTCCCTCCCCCTCCTCCCTTCCCCGCCCAGAAGGGAAAAGTGGTGACGACTTGAAAAGATGGAGATCGCCGGCGGAGGGAGGGCGTGGCTAGAAACGGTCGCGCGCAGAGGGGGCGGGATCCGGGCGTCGGCGTTGGGGACGCGCGCAGGTCCCAGAAGAGATCCGGGGGGGGCGCGGAGAGGGGAGCGCAGGGTGCACCGCCTTTTCCTTCCCCCGGGAAACCGGAGCCGGTGAGTCGGTACCGCCGGAAGGGGTCGCTAACGGGGGGGGCGGTGCGCTCCTCTTTTCGCCCCGCTAGCCGTGAAAAGGTGGGGCGGGGGAAGGCGGACCCTCGGGGGAGGAGGCAGCGAGTCAGGGAGACCCGGGATAGCAAACCCGCTTGCGGCAGGGGAAGCAACCCCGGTACGGGTCCAGACAACGCTTTGGGCGACACGCGTTCAGTGCTGCGTGTGCTACGTGAGCTGAAACCGCGGGGACGGAAAGCTTGGGTTTTTAGCACGTGTGGACGCGTTCCCTGTTCCACCCAGCAGTGCCCTGGGGGCGAGACAAACCCCCCCTGCAGTGCAGGACAGCCCCGGGGTGGGGTTGGGGTTGGGGGGGGTTCCGTTACACCTGGCACGATTCCACGTGTGCATTTGACTTTCCTTGGGGTGCCGTGTCAAGCCAGGCAGCCCTTTAATTCTAGAAGCCTGGGCCCTGTTTCTTAAGTATGTTGATATTTATGGGTCTTAATTTTTCTTGGCTGAGAGATCAAATATCAATTCATACGTGTGTAGTGTGTGTGCATGTGTATGTATATGTATATAGGTATGGTACCTGGACTGGTTTTAATGGTTTTTATATGAATATAAGTTCACCGTCCAGAATCACTTGTCTGAGATGGACAGCTATAGGAATTGAAGAAGCCATCCATGGTGAAACCACCATTTAACTGGGTTTGTTGATCAGGTAGCTTGAGTTGATGTGGAGTAAAACTGGCAGCCTAGGTCAGGGGCAGGCAACCTTGGCTCTTTTATGACTCGTGGACTTCAACTCCCAGAATTCCTGAGCCAGCTGTGCTGGCTCAGGAATTCTGGGAGTTGAAGTCCACGAGTCATAAAAGAGCCAAGGTTGCCTACCCCTGGCCTAGGTTGATCCTCATTGTGGATTCTGGGTTCTCCTGGCGCTGGGTTCAAAGCCATACACGGTTGTCACTGACCCGGTGGTGCTTTTCCAAAAGGCAACTGGACTTTCTTGGGTTTTTTTCCCCCTTTAAGAAATGTTTTCGCTTCTTATCCAAGAGGCTTCTTCAGTTCTGAGCAACGAAACGTTTTCCAAGAAGAAACAAAACAAAAGTCCAGTCGCCTTTTGGAAAAGCACCACTGGGACAGCCATGACCTGGTTGTGAACCTCCATAGATACAGTTGTCGCTGCTATAGTCCGTTCCGTTGGGATTTGATCTCGCTGCCTCTGGAAGGTTAAAGACCACATGAACGTAAACATCATCATCAATCCCAGGTTGATGGTCTTTGGGGAGAATCCATATCAAGGCCAGCTAAAGGGCCAGTTGAATTTGGAATTTGGAAGTCACAAACAACTAAGGCAAGGCTGGCTGACTGTGAGGCAGGTTAGGGGCCTCTTTTGGATAATACGCTAAAATGTAATTGGTTTGAAGTTTACCTACTATATGTGGCTAGTATGGTTTGGTTAAGTTAACTGTTTAATTTCGGTTTTTCAAACCTGGCCACTAGTTTAGTATGCTTTGTGGACCCAGTTAATGCCAAGTGTGAATTCAAATGCTAGTTCTTTTCTCCAAGCTACATCCACCTGGAGCTGGGAAGTCCTATATATACTGCTCACAAAAATAAAGGGAACACATCCTATAGGATGTCTCATAGGATGTGTTCCCTTTATTTTTTTGAGCAGTATATCAACCCTAAGAATAGAATAACTGCTGTGGAACTGTGACCTCGTTTTATGTCTGTTTTGAGCATTCTGAGTGCAATTAAAACTCCAGAGAAAAGAGATTTTCATGGCGATTAGGTTCATACACCTCAAAAGTCTAGATATGATATGTGGAAATAATCCATGGCTGAGGTCATGTAGAGTAAAATGTTTTCAGTGACTCAAAAAATAACCGGACCGTTGAACTAATTCTGAAAACCTGAATTAGTTTGAGGTATGAAAAAAAAATTGTTTTATTGAGTCATTGAGGCTGTGGGAGATTTAATTTCCCATCCTGGTATGCAAATCAACTTAGTTAACCCCAAGTTAATGTGAAGGCAATATTAGCCAGGATTAACCAGAGAAATCAGCCTTTTGCTTCCTTCTGAAATGTAGTTGAAAGGAGATCCCTTATCTCAGAATCGGGTTTTTCCTACCATAAAAGAATTTTAGGGAACCGATATGGGGCCTTGAATGTTTAAGAGTTTGTTGCATAAAATAGGTACATGTGTGTTAAACCTCTGGTTGGCTTATCCTCCTGTTATTTTTTATTTTTTATGTATTTATTTGTATCCTGCCTTTATTACTTTTAAAAATAACTGACAGTGGCCAACATATCCAACCCCCCTTCCTCCTGTTTTCCCCACAACAAGAACCCTGTGAGGTGGGTTGGGCTGAGAGAGAGAGAGAGACTGGCCCCAAATCACCCAGCTGGCTTTCATGATTAAGGCAGGACTTGAATGCACCATCTTCCCCCCCTTTCTAACCTGATGGACTAGACCAGGGCTTTTCAACCTTTTCACCCATTGTACCACTTTTAGGATATGGCAACATCCGAGGACCACCAGTCACCTAGCAAGGGGTCAAAAACTTGGTGACCCAAAAAAAAGGGAAAAAGTGATAAAGTACAGGTAGTCCTCGACTTACAACAGTTCGCTTAGTGACTGTTCGAAGTTACAAGGGCACTGAAAAAAGTGCCCCCCAAACCACAGCCGAGCAAGACACCTGCCTGCCCACCCAGCGGTGCTCTTCCTCCTGTCCGAGGTTTCCATTGTTGTGAGCATTTCTGTTGAGGATTGGCAGCAGGAGTGGGGTGGGGGGTGTTTGGCTTTTATTCCCCCCCCCCGTCTGCTGGGTGGTTGCAGCAGGTTTTGGTCCCTTCACATGACCCTGGGACACTGTGACCATCATAAATATGAATCAGTTGCCAAGTATCTGAATGTAAATCACAAGACCCTGGAGATGCTGCAACATTCCAGCTGATCGGCGCTTCTTCTGGGCTCAGCGGAAGCACCAGGATCAGCGCTGAGCTCCAGCTGGATCCTGGCGCTGATCCTGGCGCTTCCGCTGAGCCCTGACAGCCCTGCAGCTCCAGCCGTCTCTCGCTCAGGCTTGTGCGGTGCTGCCACCGGTTCAGCCCATTCCCCTCCCCTGCTACCACTTTTCTAGGATGGTTGCGTACCCCCTGCCAGGTGCCAATGTACCACAGGTGGTACCCGTACCACTGGTTGAAAAGCCCTGACATAGACCAGGGATAGGCAACCTTGGCTCTTTTATGACTCGTGGACTTCAGCTAGCTGAGGAATTCTGGGAGTTGTCCACGAGTCATAAAAGAGCCAAGGTTGCCTACCCCTGGACTAGACCAAACTGGTTAGTCTCCCTCCCCAATCAGGTAAGAAATCCATTTCATCCCTCCGAGGATGCCACTTTTATGACCCATATGATCCTAAGCCACTCCGGTATTGATTTTTTTTTTAAAAAAAATATATAGTTCCTGGTTGCCCAAAAGCTGCATGCTCCGAGTTCAGTCATTTCCTGCTATGTGGGTTTTTCAATTTATTTAGCGTATGGCATGTCACACACGGTCTAGCAATATATATTAACATTTCACCTAGATTAGTAAAACACAATAAATTATAAATGTTAAAAAGATCTATGTTCAAATGCCAACATCTAGGCCTGTAACCACTGAAGCACAGCATGTTTATATTAAAAAAAAAATCAGATACTGGACCAACTTACAGGTGGCCATGATGTGCTCTACGGTTTTATGTGGGACCCGCAGTCACACTGAGGGGAGGATGCTATACACCCCCTTCATACAGAGAGTCTCAGCAGACGCCCTGTCAGGTATGAATCCTATTCAGGGTTGACCGTTGCTGACGTGATGGTTCAGAGCCTGCCATCTTGTTTCGGGGGGTGGCATTTATATATCTCCCTATGTCCCATATTCCATATTCCAAATCCACATACCTACGGATTTTTACGAATTATATGCCAACTCATGTACGTAATATTTTCTATTCTGTAGTATTTCTTCTGTTTTTCTTAATAGTTGGAAAAAGCAAGAATTCTGCTGCACTTAATGTTTAAAATTCTCCTTGATCACTTAATGCTTTTTCTAGATCAGGGGTAGGCAACCTTGGCTCTTTTATGACTGGTGGGCTTCAACTCCCAGAATTCCTGAGCCATCCATGCTGGCTCAGGAATTCTGGGAGTTGAAGTCCATGAGTCATAAAAGAACCAAGGTTGCCTAGCCCTGATCTAGATGGTTAGTGAAGTGTTCCTCATTTGGGCTTGAAAATATAAATCCGTTTTCATAGCCCCAGAAGCTACAAGGCTGCTTTAACAAATATTTTCAACGTTTTGTATATTTCATTCTCTGCTACCTGCTGTGTTTCTGTCGCTGCCAGTTCCTTCTTTAAGATTCTTTCTAGAAATCTTTATTTTTAACGTTTAAACACGAGGTTTAATATGAATATGTCTTCCCTTAGGAGAAGGTGTGACATCTGTGTCCTTACCGTCTTATATCGTCTGTTCCAAGGACAGATTGTGCAAAGAAAGAATTAGCTTAGTCACTTGATAATTAGTTTAAACAGAAAAAGGCATCTGATTTGACATGGTTAAAACTTTGCATGTGGCATCTATGAGACTATTCTTTTGCAATTATGGTTGTGAATTGTTTAAAAATAGCATCGCATTTTAGATTAATGATGTTATCATTTACCTAGAATCCTGACATGCAGGATTACGTATAATGAAATCCTTACAGTTTCATATTATGCCAGGAGCTTCATTAGATTGATTAAACAAAACGTATGCAGCTATTTTCAGAGGGGTCATGTGATCAAAATTTGGGCGCTTGGCAACTGGCATGTATTTATGAGGGTTGAAATGGTCTGGGTTCATGTGATCCCCATTTGTGCCCCAGGTTTCAGGAACATACAAATCCAATTAGATTAAAGTTGTTCTTTTAATGCTTTAAGTCCCCTGGGTAGTCGGACGCCGCTATTCTTAGAGGGTGGGATAATAATAATAATGATAAAGTTGGAAGTGACCTTGGAGGTCATCTAGTCCAACCCCCTGCTCAGGCAGGAAACCCTGTACCATTTCGGACAAATGGCTGTCGGACAAATGGATAGAAATTCCCTTCCCTCTCTCCTCACAGGGGGAAAGATACGTCCGGCAGCTTTTACAGGAAGAGAAAGTACTTAGGTCAGACATGTCAAACACAAGGCCCGGGGGGGCGGATGCGGCCCGCGGAGTGGTTTCATGTGGCCCACAAAGCCATCCTAGAAACAGTGAGGGAACGGCCCCCGCTGCCTTGGCCCTGGCCCAGGCCAGCCGGGACCCAATGTACAATTTTGTGGTGGCCATCTATGCTGAAACGCATTCAGTCTTGGCTCCACAAGGCCGTCTGGAAACAGCGAGGAACCAGCCCCTGCCGCGTCGGCCCCGCCCCCTGGGTGCATGCTGGAGAGGGGTCCCCCTTTGTGAGGAATGAAGAAATGGACCATCGCCTGGAAGTGGCCAGCAAATGGCCCTCGCCTACTTCACATATCTGGCTTGATGGGCTCTGCCCTGGTCCCCCCCCTATTGCCAGAGACCCCCAGATCTGTCCCACTCCTGCCCAGGAAGCCCCCACAGGCCCCCTTGATGCAAACGATGTAGAGCTGGCCACGCCCACCCAGTAGGCCACACCCACTCCATCCACACACAGTAGGCTGCACCCACCCTGGCTACACCCCCCCACCCCCCCGAGGGCAACCGTAATGCTGATGCGGCCCTCAATGAAATTGAGTTTGACACCCCTGACTTAGGGTAAAGAGAAGATCGGATCTCACCCAGTTTCATCCGCGTTGCTTTCGAAGTGCTTGGTGGTGAGTTTGATTTCAGCTGTCTGCAGCCTAGTGACGGACCATATTACCATGGCCGGTCTTTCCTCTGCCAATTTGGAAGGCTGCCCCGGATCGAGTGGAAGGGCTGCCCGCCCTCCCACGATCAAGCGGGGGTCCCCTCCTTGCTCGTCGCCCCTACAGGGCGATTTTTGACCCTTTCCAGGGTCCCCCAGCGGAGTGAAAACGGATGTGGACGACGGAGCTCGCCTTCCAAACATCCGCAGCGGCCGCCTTTTGAAAAGCAACTTCGGGATGCTTTCTACGTGTTACCTTTTAAAGACACGGCCCTTAAACCAGGGGTCCCCAACCTTGGCCACTTTAAGACCTGTGGACTTCAACTCCCAGAATTCCCCAGCCAGCATGGCTGGCTGGGGAATTCTGGGAGTTGAAGTCCACAGGTCTTAAAATGGCCAAGGTTGGGGATCCCTGCCTTAAACAGCATTTCTTGGGGGATTATTGTGAGGATCATATTCCCGGCACTCGGCATTTCCACTTGTAAATGACACAACAGGATAGCTGGAAGAAATCTAACACAGTAGCTGAAATCTAAGAAGGACGAAGCCAGTGGCAAAATTGGGGCACATCGTTAAGGGTGGTGTATACAAGCTTTGCATTGTATAATACTATGTACAGTTTATAAATCGAGTCGAGGCTGAGGAATTCTGGGGGTTGAAGTCCACCAGTCCTCAAAAGGCCAAGTTGGAAGACTCCTGGTCTGGATCCAAGCCCCCAGTTTTATCAAAATGGCCGACTGAGGAATTCTGGGGGTTGAAGTCCACCAGTCCTCAAAAGGCCAAGTTGGAAGACTCCTGGTCTGGATCCAAGCCCCCAGTTTTATCAAAATGGCCGACTGAGGGATTCTGGGAGTTGAAGTCCACCAGTCCTCGAAGGGCCAAGTTTGAAGACCCCTGAGGTAGTACTTTCCTTGCTGCCGTAAAAGGTGTTCGCAAAACCATGGAAACCACGGAGGGCCTCCCCACGCCCCTGTTCCCTCCAGTGACTGAGACTTGGTGGCCCCCAGACCTAAATGTTCATTCCCCATTTGCTGTAAATAAAATGTTTAGAGACTAAAAATTGGATGAATAAATCCTCCCTCCCAACCCGCCACTCCTTCTGGCAGAAATGACGCCCACAGACCCGGGAGCTGGTTGCCAAGGGTGCCCGGCTGGCATTCCTGTGGCTTCCCGGCCCAAATACCCCACAGGAGGTCTTGTTGCAGCTACATGCTGAATTTGGAAAAAATAAAATAAATAAATTCCAAAGGAAGGAAATGGGATCCATGACAGGAAGTGCTGATTGGTTCAAGGTGGCCCTTTTTATTTAAGGATTGCTTGTTCAGGAATGCGGTTCTATAACTTGACTACAGCAACTTAGTGACTGCAGCGATTCACTTAACAACTGTGGCCGTCGTAAATGGGACAGAACTCACTTAACAAATGGCTCGCTTAACAGCAGAAACTTTGGGCTGAATGGGGGTCGTAAGTTGAGGACAACCTGTACTTAGTTCTTTAACTCTGCCATAATGTTAAGTTATCAGTAAAAATAACATTCACACTTGCAGATCTGGAAAAATGGTATTCAAGATATTTAAATATGTCAATCATGTGGCTGATATAATGAATCTACGAGGCATCAGGACTGCCTGCATCTGTGTGATATTGCAGTAATTCCTTACATGCAAAACAGAACTGGTCTTTCTCTCTCTCTCTCTCTCTCTCTCTCTCTCTCCTCTCCTTCCCTCTCTCTCTTTCTCTCTTTCCTCTCTCTCTCTAATCTATATATATATCTCTATATCTATCTTTCTATCTCTATATCTCTCTATATCTATAATTTATATATCTGTATCGTATCTATCTATCTATCATCTACCTCTATATCTATCTCTATTTCTATATATCTATCATCTATCTCTATATCTATTTCTATATATCTGTCTCTCTGTATCTCTCTATCTCTCTATTTATCTCTATATCTATCAATCTATCTTTCTATATATATAATCTATATATATATATTTGTATATCTATATCTATTTATCTATATCTATCTATCTAAATATTTATCTCTATTTCTCTCTCTCTCTCTCTCTCTCTCTCTGTATCTCTATCTATTTATCTCTATCTCTAGATCTATATCTATATCTATCTTTCTATATATATAATCTATATATCTATGTATCTATCTAAATATCTCTATTTCTCTATGTCTATAATCTATGTATCTATCTGTATCTCTATGTCTGTCTGTCTGTCTGTCTGTCTGTCTGTCTCTATGTATCTATGTATCTATGTATCTATCTATCTATCTATCTATCTATCTATCTATCATCTATCTCTATACATACATACATACATACATACATACATACATACATACATACATACATACATACATACATACATACATACATACATACATACAATGTGTGGATGTGTGAATTCTCCTGCCAGCAAGGCAGTTGAAGTCCACACCGCTTCAAATGGCCAAGAAACCCTGGTATATATGGCATCTAGAACGCTAAATGCATAAACTCCTAGAACAGGTTTTAGATGCAGTGTTCTTTACCAAATGTAGCCTGCAGTTCTAGGCGTGTTATTTGGATTCAATTTGTAATATATATTCAACAGTTCTTGCTGTACATTTTAAGCTAAACTCTTTGAAGCTTTCTGTTTTTTTCTTTTTGGCCTGAGGTTGCATTTCTTGGTACCACGGAGCAAAGAGGAGAGTTAAAAGATGCTGCATGTTAATAACCAACACATTTCAATCACCAAGCTTATTTTTTTTCCAGAAAGGTAGAATCACTTTATTGTAAGAAATTGTTCACTCTCCATTCCAGGGATTGGCAGCCTATTGCTCACAAAAACTAATTTTGCAAAGTGGTTTAGCAAACAAGTTTGGGGCTGTAGAATTAAGATTTTGGGATTTAAGTCTAAAACAGGGTTTCTTAACCTTGGCTGCTTTAAGATGTATGGACTTCAATTTCCCAAAATTCCCCAGCAAGTGTGAAAAACGGTCATGGGTCACTTTTTCCAGCACCATTGTAACTTTGAATGGTCACTAAAGAAGTGGTTGTAAGTTAAGGACTGCCTCTATGGTAATTTTATTTGCAGCTTTCCTGTGGATATATATACCCAAGCAATACAACTTCCTTGCACAATATGGGGGATGCAGAGATACGGCAGTGGATACGTTATTTAAATTAGCTTCCAGAATTCTTTTACATACCTTGACAAAAGGTCTTTTGACACTTTCACATCCGTGGCCGATGGCGGATGTTTGCCTTAGCATTAAACTGCTTGCATCAGGATGCATTTAGAGTGTAAAAAAAAAGTTACTCATTAACCACCTAGCAATTGTGGACGGATGACCTTCGCATACAGATGTTGACTGAAATAATTAAGAGTGAAAGCTTGACCTTGCTGCTTGATTAACTCCATAATACCCATCTTATAGTTGTTGTTCTCTTCTACAGGAAGACTGAAATTCATCAAGCAAGACAATTTAAAGTTCAGAAGGTAAGGGTTAGGTTTTTTTTTTGGTATATATAAAAGTTTTATGATATTCAAATAGGATGTTTGTATAAGAAGCACCTGTCCATTGCTACATTGAAAAATAGCAATAAAATAGCATGTTTAAGGTGTCTGCTGAAATTAATAACAACAACAACAACAACAACAACAACAACAACAATAATAATAATAATAATAATAATAATAATAATAATAATAATAATAATAGTAAAGTTGGAAGGGACCTTGAAGGTCATCTAGTCCAACCCCCTGCTCAGGCAGGAAACCCTACACCATTTCGGACAAATGGCTGTCCAGTCTCTTCTTAAAGAGACATTAAACATTTGCTTTCCGGCTTTTTGCGGGCTTCACAAATTTATTGTTGGTTTTCTGTTCTAAGTAGCCCGGCCACCTTTTTTGTTTATATCATACGTTACAGAAAACAAATAAGTGAATTTCTTATTCATATTCTCTCAAACAATTCTGTTAATTTAATCTGCTGGAATCGTATTAGGTTTAACCGTATGCTTCAAGAGGTGTGTGCCACAGTGTTGCTGTTTGTAAGGTTTTTGTACACCCTTATGATTACTTTGGGTCCCAAAGGGGTTTAAAATTCTCCCTCGTCATTCCAGATGTGATCTTCTCTAACTGCAGATATTTGCTTCCTTTGAACCTCACCCAAACCATGATGAGAAAAATGCAGCAACTCTTGCTTTATCCCTGTGTCCCGTTTAAAAGAAGAAGCAAAGCTTTATTCCCTTGGCTTTATTCATGCACAGAAACTCATATTGGTTCTTGGTTTTCTTTTAGACCAGAGGCCTTCAAACTTGGCCCTTTTATGACTGGTGGACTTCAACTCCCAGAATTCCTCAGCCAGGCACTGCTGACTGAGGAATTCTGGGAGTTGAAGTCCACAAGTCATAAAAGGGCCAAGTTTGAAGACCCCCCTACTTTAGATCAAGGGTCTTCAAACTTGGCCACTTTAAGACTTGTGGACTTCAACTCCCAGAATTCCTCAGCTAGCCCTGAGGAATTCTGGGAGTTGAAGTCCACAAGTCTTAAAGTGGCCAAGTTTGAAGACCCCTGCTTTAGATGGAAAAGAATTTGAGAATTACACAGACTGTAACTGTATGGCATAATGTGTAAAGGGAAAGATTACCCCTATCCAGTCGTATTTTTTTTTTTTTTTAAATTTGATTTGTATCCCGCCCTTCTCCTTACCGGACTCAGGGCGGCTGACAGCCTTATAAAACCAATATTACAGTAAATATCAATTTAAAACCAGATTAAAAGGAAATATTTGCAGTGGCCTAAAAATTAAAATTTCCCTTAAAAAACCCCACTAAAATTCCCTAGGCCAATCCCGCTTGTTGGAAAAGCCATGTCTTTA